TCCCGAGCCGGGGGCTCGCTCCGAAGTAGGCATCCCGCGGGGCGCGAGCGAGCGGAGCCCGGACCCGGTGGGGAGCCGGGCGCGCTCCGCCTCGCGGGTCCTCTCGGAAGTCGCAGCGCCAGCCCGCCCCGCCAAGGTCCGGCGAGGGGTGTGGGAACCCGAGGTGCGGCCGCCTGGATACGGGGTCTTTTGCGGAGGGGGCGGGCGGGTCAGGACGGGGTCGGCGCGCAGAAAGGGAACGAGATGCCGGGAAGGGCGGGGGGCGTCGTTGGGATCCGCTGGAGGCAGGCGCAGCCTTGCGCTGGGGGCAGCCGGGGACCTCACGCCGGACAGTCGAGGCACGCCGGCCAGGTGGGGCCGGAGAGCGAGCCGGAGGCGCCACCCACGGAGCCCCGAGACCAGGCGCCCGGGGATTTAAATTCTCTCCCGAGTGGCGCTCAACTGATCAATTTCAGCCTCGAAATGGGAGTGCCTGTAGGCGTGGCTTCGCCGCGGTGTCGGTGGAGAGAATTTAGGAGAGGGGACGTCGAACGGGGATGGCGAGGAGGCGGACGACCGTCCGGGGCAAGAGAGGGATTATGCGGTTCGGTCCCTTGAAGAGTTGACGGCGCCTTCAGGGGTGAAGGGGTCGGAAGTGCAGAAAGTTGGAGTGGGAAGTCGTGAAAGAGCGGGAGAAAACAGATAATAGGTACTTGCAGATATGGAGAGAACCTTGGCATTTGGAAGAGCTCAGGATGGAGAGAGTGTTAACAAGAATGACAGTTAGAAACACTGATTTAAAAATGCACATGGCACTTAAAAATCAGCTCAAGAGGATGTCATTTGAATATGAAAAAGTAAGGTGGAGTGATTTCTTGCATACACTTTCACCTCAGCATCATTTAAATACCTTTTGAGAAGGAAGCAAAAAACATCTTCGGCAGTGTGATTCAAACTAAGGAGTAACTGTTGGAAACAGATAGATGCTGCTGCTGTGGGTGATGATTAATTTTTAGGAAAAATATACCAGAAAATAATTGTAATGTATAGTAGCCCACTACTTTGGTAGATTTTGCAAAAAAGCCTTGGCATTTTAAAGAACACTGTGTCAAAGAGCATCGAATAAATCTGAAGTGCAGCTAAAGATACTCAGTCCTCAACTCTAAGGTAAAATTTGAAGAGATACTCAATTTATTTACCATGATTTTATTAAGATGTGTCCTGTATGATGGAAAATACCATCTCTTTAAATATTGAAAGCTACCCAACGTGGTTTTTCTTTTTCGTTTGGGTCCATGTAGCAGCATTCACAGTCACACTCTGGCTTAATGATCTGGCGTTACAGAAAAAGAATGACTCCTCTTAGAGAAAGTTGAAAGTTATATTAAAATTAAAGTTTGTACTTATTATTTGTTGTATTGCTGTTTTGAATTTTCTGAAGTTGATTTCTTAGACACATTACAGTAGGTTAGAATGACTTAAATTTTTTATTTTCCTCCTTGCCTAACTTCTTTTTCCATAGTACTTGAAAATAGTTTCCATAGACACAACCTGAATGGTGTTAGAAAGAAAGATACCTGCAGATATAGAATGCCACAGGTAGAGTGTAACATGTTTTCTTATAAGTTTTTTTTACAAGAAAGAAAATTCCATTCAAGTTCGTTTAAATGTGCATCAAAATAAGTCTAAAAAATTATTCCAAAAATGGAGCCTCAAATAAAAAACACTTGAAGGAGTATTTTGCAGAAACAAAGTACTTTACAAAAACATGGCAAATAAAATATAACTTTATGTTTATATCAGTTTTTTTTTTGGTCTTACAAAAAGTCATTATTAAAAGAGACGTTGCCATTTAGTAATCTGACCCCTTAGAAAAGAAAGAAGAAAGCTTGATTTTTTAATTTATGATTGAATGAATGAATGTGTGAGAGAGACAGGGTTGGTCTCCTTACATTGCCCAGGCTGACCTGGCACTCATGGGCTCAAGAGAACCTCCTGCCTCAGCCTCCTGAGTAGCTTGGGGCCACAGGTGTGTGCTTTTGCACCTGGCTGAAGGTGGCTTATTTTCTGTACTGGGCACTTTTCGTCTCTGATACTCTTATTCTTCCAAGAACACCATAGAAAGCTGTTCTTGCTGATGCAGGAACAGGCTCAGAGGTTATATACAACTTGCCCAAGTCCATCCACATCATAGTAAGAGGCAGGGCCAGGATTGGAACTCGGGTATGTCTGATTCCAGATCAAGTGCAACTTTAATTATGCCAGGCTGTTTGACATTACACTGAGATTTAGCTGTTTACATAGAATTTTTAAATTGTCATTTCAATGTTTAATTGCATTTATTGCTAAGAATGAATATCATTCTGAGAAAATTCAATTTCTTACACAAAGGAATTGGTTTAGTGTAATGTCTGCCCCTCGTTTATATCTGTAAAATGAACATAATTATATTACCCAATGAGACGGCTGAAATAGATAGCTTATTTTTACTACAGGAAAAAAAATCTGATTGTTGATTGTTTTCTATAAGTGTAAAATTACAACATTAAAAAGCGTTTTTATTTTGTCATGAAAAAACTTAAACATTTTGCCCTTAAAAGTAATTTTTATTGTTTATTATCCTTTATGTTGTAGACAATTCCAAAAGATCGTACTGCACCTTGATGTGAGAGTACAGTATTTTGATAGTGAGACCTCTAAAAAAGTAACATGTATATTCAAAACTAAGTTGTATTTATTGATCACTTGGGACATTCAGTGTATAAATGGGAATTCCTAAAAAGCCCAATATAAATAATACAGTTTTTAAATTTTTTAAAAAATAGGATTATAGTGTACATATTACTCTGTACCTGTATAATATTTATGCAGAAATTATTTTAGCCGTTTACATTTACTTTGTCCCCCTACTGCCTCCTATATGTGTGTGTATGTGTATGTATATTTGTTACTGTTTCTTGGTGTTAGAAACAGTGTTTCAGGAAACATCCTTACATGTCTATTTAACTCATTAGGTGTTGATATCTTTTTTTATTAGTATAAATTTTTTTTTTTGAGTTGGAGTCTCACTTTGTCACCCATGCTGGAGGGTAGTGGCATGTTTGACAGCCACTGCAGCCTCGACCTGCGGAACTCAGGTGATCCTTCTGTCTCAGTCTTCCAAGTAGCTGGAACCACAGACCCGCGTCACCATGCCTGGCTAATTTTTTGATTTATTGTAGAGACGAGGTCTTACCAAGTTGCCCAGGCTGGTTTTGAACCCCTGGACTCAGGCAATCCTCTTGCCTCTGCCTCCCAAAGTGCTGGAATTACAGGCGTGAGCCACCATGACCTGCCTGTTAGTATAAATTCTACATGTGGAATTGCTAGCACAAAGTATATACATATTTTATAATTAACATATTTTAAAATCTGTTATCTGTCCATTTTTTTCCCCCAAATGGTTACAGTAATTCACACTGCCAGCATATACTCACAAGCATTGGAGCTATTAGATTTTAACTTTAGGTAGTGTGAGGCTGTGAAATGGTTATGTTGTTGAATTAATTTACATTTTCCTAATTTCTGGTTAGAGTGAACGTCTTTACATATATTTATTGCACTTTTATTTGCTATTGTTTTTTTTTTTTTTTGAGTTGGAGTCTCACTCTGTCACCCAGACTGGAGTGCAGTGGCCGCTCCCGGCCACCGCAGCCTCGACCTGCTGGGCTCCAGCGATCCTTCCGCCTCAGGCTTCCAAATAGCCACACCCAGCTGATTTTTTGATTTATTGTAGAGATGAGGTCTCGCGCCCAGGCGGGTCTCGAACTCGCGGGCTCAGGCAATCCACTCACCTCAGCCTCCCAAAGACGCTGCTAGTTTATTTTCATTTGTCTATTTTTCTACTGAGTGGTTGGTTTGCTTATTTATTTATTTAGAGTCAGGGTCTCTGTTGCTCAGGCTGGACTGGATTGCTCTGGCATGATCACAAGGATCATTGCTCATGGCAGCCTCCAACTCCTGGTCTCAGCGATTCTTCCATCTCAGCATCCTGAGTGGCTGAGACTGCAGGCACAAGCCACTACATCT